GCCCTGGACAAACATCTGCCCTGGACAAACATCTGCTGTGGACAAACATCTGCCCTGGACAAACATCTGCCGTGGACAAACATCTGGACAAATCTGCCCTGGACAAACATCTGCCCTGGACAAACATCTGCCCTGGACAAACATCTGCTGTGGAGAATCCAAAAATGGAACCTCACCAGGTGAACACGGACACAGCAAATATTAGTCCTCGTCCGCTGACCCTGGCTCCATCTTCTGTCTCTTGTTTCTCCTCCATGTTCCTCACACACGTTTTCTTTGTTTATTTTCCCGTGTGTGACCCGAAATGGCGGCGGCGAGACTGTGACCTGTGTCCATTCATATAAACGCTTGGTATAAACCCACTCCGCAGGATCCTGGGCTTTTTATTTCACTGTTTTGTCCTTTAAAAACAGCTCCAAACTCAGCTCCAAATTGACTTTTATAACACAAGCCTCCATAAGCTTCATTTGACTGGAGCTGAACATTAAAACAGGCCCTAAACCAGGACTAAAACACTGTAAATCCCGCTCACTCGGAACACTTCTTGATCTATGGTCTAAGCAACATGCACATACACCAGTGTACGCAGACGCTGGAGGTGAGGGGGGTTAAGTGTCTTGCCCAAGGACACAACGATAACATTCATCTGTGGGAGCTGGAATCACACCAACAACCTGTGGTTCTGTTGATCTGATGTTCACTAATGATGTTTTATGTCAAGAGGGATTCAAACCACCAACCTTCACATCAGAGACAAACACTCGACTGACTGAACCGCACTACTGCACTTTAAATGTTTTTATGGTCGAACTCACAGATACGGAGAATCATTTTTGTTTGAGTCGTCTGTCATTTTCCACAAATCACATTTCCAACTAAATTAACAAACATAAAAACCTAAACGAGTGAATTAAACACAAACAAAATATCATGAACTCAAATAAATAATCAGTAATAAATGTTTCATCGTAACAATGTTGATATAGTTTTTTTGTTTTGTTTTTTCAAATCAGCGTCATCCGTTGGTCCCGGGAACGTCGACACTGAACGACCAGAAGACTTTGGAAAAATGTCTTGAGCTGGACAAGATTCGACCAACAAAAATCATCCTAAAAACACCATTTTAAGTTTTTTTCATGAATAACGTGATTTTCCTGATTCTGTGTGAGAGGTCCCCATAAGTCACCGAGTCCACGGGTCAAACGTTTCACCGCAGATCGACGTCCAGGTGGGTCACAGTTACACGACATTTAGTCCAGACCTGGTCCTGGACTGACGGACGTGACATAGACCTGAGGTGTGTGATGTTCGGCGAGTCGAGTCATGAGGCGACGGACCCGAGGCGTCGTCTGAGCCCCAAATCAACCCCAAAAAATAAACGTTCTCTCCTCAAATAACAGCGACGACTTCAGGTTTAAATAAATCGAGACCGCGGTGACTCATGGGAAATGTAGTTTTGTCCGATTTCACAAACGTTCTTAAAGTGTCAATAAAAATAATAATAAAAGTGTGAACTCACCGTGAAGCAGAGAGACAGAGACGACACAAAGAGGAAGTCTGACCATTTATAGCACACGCAGCACCATATAAGGACACAGGAAGCACATGTAAACAAAGACACGAGTTTTTCCACCTTTAAATATGACTAAACCCGGACTAAACTAGGACTAAAACAGAACTAAAACAAGACTTATATTTCACAACTCAGAGTAAAAAAGAAAAGGGAAGAAATGGTAATAAACTTCTAAATAAGCAATAAAATAGCAATAAAAAAGATTTGTATGCGTATGCGAGTAAAACACAAATATCGTAACAGAAATCCAGTTTAATGTAAAAAGGTGGAGGTTTTTAGGAATTTTTTGTGATATTCTGTGTTTTTTGTGATATTTTTTGATATTCTGTGATATTTTATGATGTTTTGTGAATTTTTTTGTGATATATTTTGTGAGTTTTTTTGTGATATATTTTGTGATATTTTGTGAGTTTTTGGTGATATTTTGTGATATATTTTTGATATTTTGTGATATTCTGTGATAGTTTATGATATTCTGTGATTTCTTTTTTCTATTTTATGAATTTTTTGTGATATTTTGTGATATTCTGTGATAGTTTGTGAGTTTTTCGTGATATTTTGTGAGTTTTTCGTGATATTTTGTGAGTATTCTGTTTCTTTTCGATGGTGATCTGAGTTGATTCCGTCACATCACATTTCTCGGTTTTGGATTAAAGTTAAACGTCGTCCAGAAATAAAACAGGAGCTTAAAATAAAACGAGGCTAATCTTAGAAAAAGCAGAAGGAGCGTTTGTGTCGATGTTCCGTGTTCTTTTTTTTTTTTTTGAGGAAGTGACGTGACGCTGATGCGGTTTCCGTGGTAACTCTGCGGTCATGTGACTCCTGGGTCACGCTCTGCTCCATCCCTCACGTCACGTTTTCATCCAAACTAATCACACAATCCACAGAATGTTCCACAGTGTGACTTTAAAACTCCCCGAGCACAAACGAGAGACGTCCTGATCACTTTTTTTTTGCCTCCGAGTTTTTTGATTCCGAGTCTCTGCCGATACCGAGTCCCGATCCGATACTTTTATAAAACAAATGAAATGAACCAAGAGCAAAACTGAAAACCTGAAGAGGATATACAGTCATGTTTGAATAATCTAGAGATCTCACCTGGCCCTGTTCAAACCATCCTTGTAGGGAGTATTATCTGTGACATAAGTGTGAGTTGTACAGTTGTAGGGAGTATTATCTGTGACATAAGTGTGAGTTGTACAGTTGTAGGGAGTATTATCTGTGACATAAGTGTGAGTTGTACAGTTGTAGGGAGTATTATCTGTGACATAAGTGTGAGTTGTACAGTTGTAGGGAGTATTATCTGTCACATAAGGGTGAGTTGTAGGGAGTATTATCTGTTACATAAGTGTGAGTTGTTGTACAGTTGTAGGGAGTATTATCTGTCACATAAGGGTGAGTTGTTGTACAGTTGTAGGAGTATTATCTGTGACATAAGTGTGAGTTGTTGTACAGTTGTAGGGAGTATTATCTGTCACATTTGGATGAGTTGTATAATTGTTTTTGTCTTTTTCCGGCTTCTGAAGTGTCTCAGTTTCAGTTCTCATTTTTTTCATCGTCACAGTTTCACAAACACATGAGCCAAACGTCAGAGAAGAAACATGACTCACAACAGAACTAAACCAGGACTAAACCAGGACTAAACCAGGACTAAAGCAGGACTAAAGCAGGACTAAACCAGGACTAAACCAGGACTAAAACAGGACTAAACCAGGACTAAACAGGACTAAACCAGGACTAAACAGGACTAACCAGGACTGAACCAGGACTAAACCAGGACTGAACCAGGACTAAACCAGGACTAAAGGACTAAACCAGGACTAAAACAGGACTAAACCAGGACTAAAACAGGACTAAACCAGGACTAAAACAGGACTAAACCAGGACTAAACCAGGACTAAACCAGGACTAAAGCAGGTCTGAACCAGGACTAAACCAGAACTAAACCAGGACTAAACCAGGTCTAAACCAGGACTAAACCTGGACTGAACCAGGACTAAAGCAGGACTAAACCAGGACTAAAACAGGTCTGAACCAGAACTAAACCAGGACTAAACCAGGACTTACCCTGGACTAAACCAGGACTAAACCAGGTCTAAAGCAGGTCTGAACCAGGACTAAACCAGGACTAAACCAGGACTAAACCTGGACTGAACCAGGACTAAAGCAGGACTAAACCAGGACCAAGTTTTGTCCTGGTTCAATCTGGTTTAGTCCTGAAAAACTGGTCAGAGGAAAAATTGTACAAATTTCTGGAATATTATTTTTAAAATTATTTGCTTGTTTTAAGAAAACGATGAGTCCAAAGATTGACACAAACGCAGGAGCAGACCAGCAGGGGGCGCAGGACTCCACATGCACTGAGCAGTAGAGACGTGGATGGTTACAGCCGCGGGTCGGGATGACGGGACGACAAAGAATATTTTAATTAAATTTGGGCGAGTGACGGATTCACTTCTCAAATAAAAACTCTGAACTGGGAACCTCTACACACACACCTCTACACACACACTCTCTACACACACACACACACACTCTACACACACACCTCTACACACACACACACACTCTACACACACACTCTACACACACACACTCTACACACACACACTCTACACACACACACTCTACACACACACCTCTACACACACACTCTACACACACACTACACACACACACTCTACACACACATCTACACACACACCTCTACACACACCTCTACACACACACACACACACATCTACACACACACACACACACTCTACACACACACACACTCTACACACACACACACACATCTACACACACACACACTCTACACACACACTCTACACACACACTCTACACACACACGCTCTACACACACACACACACACACTCTACACACACACTCTACACACACACTCTACACACACACACACATCTACACACACACTCTACACACACACCTCTACACACACCTCTACACACACACACACACACACATCTACACACACACACACACACCTCTACACACACACGCTCTACACACACACACACACACTCTACACACACCTCTACACACACACACACACTCTACACACACACTCTACACACACACCTCTACACACACACCTCTACACACACACTCTACACACACACACACACACACTCTACACACACCTCTACACACACACCACACACACTCTACACACACTCTACACACACACACACACACCTCTACACACACACACACACATCTACACACACACACACACACCTCTACACACACCTCTACACACACACACACACACACCTCTACACACACACCACATCTACACACACACCTCTACACACACACACACACCTCTACACACACCTCTACACACACACCTCTACACACACACTCTACACACACACACTCTACACACACCTCTACACACACACCTCTACACACACACTCTACACACACACACACACACACTCTACACACACACTCTACACACACACCTCTACACACACACACACACCTCTACACACACACACACACTCTACACACACACACACACACACACTCTACACACACACTCTACACACACACTCTACACACACACACACACACTCTACACACACCTCTACACACACACCTCTACACACACACATCTACACACACACCTCTACACACACACACATCTACACACACACTCTACACACACCTCTACACACACACACACACCTCTACACACACACACACACACATCTACACACACACATCTACACACACACACACATCTACACACACACCTCACACACATCTACACACACACACACACACTCTACACACACACTCTACACACACCTCTACACACACACACACACACCTCTACACACACCTCTACACACACACACACACCTCTACACACACCCTCTACACACACACACACACACCTCTACACACACACACACACATCTACACACACACCTCTACACACACCTCTACACACACACACCTCTACACACACCTCTACACACACCTCTACACACATCTACACACACACATCTACACACACCTCTACACACACACCTCTACACACACCTCTACACACACACATCCACACACACACATCTACACACACACTCTACACACACACTCTACACACACCTCTACACACACACCTCTACACACACACATCTACACACACCTCTACACACACACACTCTACACACACTGAGGAGTGAAGCAGCTACTGTTGTTTGTCTGATTTAAACTCTAAACCACAGAACAAACAAAACAACAGTTTGAGGTTTCACAAGATTCAACTGATCTGGACTCACATGTTAGACCACAGTCTGGACCACGGTCTGGACCAGGTCTAGTCCAGGTCTGAACCAGGTCTAGTCCAGGTCTAGTCCAGGTTTAGTCCAGGTTTAGACCAGGTTTGGACCAGGTTGAGTCCAGGTTGAGTCCTGGTTTAGTCCAGGTTGAGTCCTGGTTTAGTCCAGGTTCAGTCCTGGTTTAGTCCAGGTTGAGTCCTGGTTTAGTCCAGGTTGAGTCCTGGTTTAGTCCAGGTTTGGTCCGTGTGTGTCAGAGTCATGAGTTCAGACTCAGTGTGATTCACACAGAAACTCCAGATTTACACTGGAAAAAAAAAAAAAAAAATCTAAAATATGAAGGTGTCAGTCCAAACCTGTTCTAATGTGAGAAACTGTCCCGCAAAAATATTAGTCCTGGTTTAGTCCTGGTTTAGTCCTGGTACAGTCTTGGTTTAGTCCTGGTTTAATCCTGGTTTAGTCCTGGTTTAGTCCTGGTTCAGTCTTGGTTCAGTCTTGGTTTAGTCCTGGTTTAATCCTGGTTTAGTCCTGGTTTAGTCCTGGTTTAGTTTAGTCCTGGTTTAGTCCTGGTTTAGTCCTGGTTTAGACCTGGTTTAGTCCTGGTTTAGACCTGGTTTAGTTCTTGTGTTTGTAATGAGTTCATGGGTGAACGGAGGTTTGTTTTTAAAGGTGAATGACCCCGATGTGAAACTGGAGTCCCTCTGAAACAAGCCACGACTAAACCTGGACTAAACCTGGTCTAAACCTGGACTAAAACTGGACTAAAACTGGACAAGACCTGGACTAAACCTGGTCCAAACTCTGACTAATCCTTCACCCACTCCTCTGCTCTGATCCTTCTGGTCTGACGGTAAGAACAAGCTCCTGGTCTAGTCCTGGTTTAGTCCTAGTTTAGTCCTGGTTTAGTCCTGCTTTAGTCCTGGTCCAGTCCTGTTATAGTCCTGGTTTAGTCCTGGTTTAGTCCTCATTTAGTCCTGCTTTAGTCCTGGTTCAGTCCTGCGTTAGTTCTTATCTTCTTGTGTTCTTCAGTCTGGTTCTGGTGTTTAGTCCTTTTTTAGTCCTGGTCCAGTCCTGGTCCGGTCCTGGTTCAGTCCTGGTCCGGTCCTGGTCCAAGTCCTGGTCCGGTCCTGGTCCGGTCCTGGTCCGGTCCTGGTCCGGTCCTGGTCCTGTCCTGGTCCTGGTCCTGGTCCGGTCCTGGTCCGGTCCTGGTCCGGTCCTCCTGGTCCTGGTCCTGGTCCGGTCCTGGTTCCTGGTCCTGGTTCCTGGTCCGGTCCTGGTCCGGTCCTGGTCCGGTCCTGGTCCGGTCCTGGTTCTGTCCTGGTCCAGTCCTGGTCCAAGTCCTGGTCTGGTCCTGGTCCGGTCCTGGTTCAGTCCGTGTCTCCTTGTGTTCTTCAGTCTGGTTCCATGGCGCTGGTTCTGCAGATCGTTGGTCTGGTTCTCGGGCTCCTGTCCTGGGGACTCACCTCCAGCTCCACCTCCAACCACCACTGGAAGGTACAGACCCGGGACGACCCGGGACGACCCGGGACGACCCGGGACGGGAACGACCCGGGACGACCGGGGGCAAACCAAACAAAGAAGGAGAAACATCTGGATCAGAATTTTGAAGATTTATTTAATTTTTTGAATCTGAAAACTTTTGAAATCATGTCCTGGTTTAGTCCTAGTCTGGTCCTGGTCCAGTCCTGGTCCAGTCCTGGTCCAGTCTTGGTCCAGTCCTGGTCTGGTCCTGGTCCTGGTCCAGTCCTGGTCCAGGTCCAGTCCTGGTCCTGGTCCTGGTCTGGTCCTGGTCCGGTCCTGGTCCGGTCCTGGTCCGGTCCTGGTCCGGTCCTGGTCCGGTCCTGGTCTAGTCCTGGTCTGGTCCTGGTCTAGTCCTGGTCTAGTCCTGGTCTAGTCCTGGTCTGGTCCTGGTCTAGTCCTGGTCTGGTCCTGGTCTAGTCCTGGTCTAGTCCTGGTCTGGTCCTGGTCTAGTCCTGGTCTAGTCCTGGTCTAGTCCTGGTCTGGTCCTGGTCTAGTCCTGGTCTGGTCCTGGTCTAGTCCTGGTCTAGTCCTGGTCTGGTCCTGGTCTAGTCCTGGTCTGGTCCTGGTCTAGTCCTGGTCTGGTCCTGGTCCTGGTCTAGTCCTGGTCCTGGTCTAGTCCTGGTCTAGTCCTGGTCTAGTCCTGGTCTGGTGTGTTACAGGTGAAGTCTCAGGTGGAGTCGGTCAGTTTGTCTCAGTGGACGTTTGAGGGTTTGTGGATGAGCTGCGCCGCCGCCGCCACCGGGTCCACACAGTGCTCCAGGTTCAAGACCGTCCTGGGTCTGCCGGGTAAGACCACGGACCACAGACCGGACCACGGACCACAGACCACAGACCGGACCACAGACCACAGACCGGACCACGGACCACAGACCGGACCACACCAGACCGGACCACAGACCACAGACCGGACCACGACCACGACCACAGACCAGACCACGGACCACAGACCACAGACCGACCACGGACCACAGACCGGACCACGGACCACACGACCACACGACCCGGACCACGGACCGCAGACCGGGACCACAGACCGACCGGACCACGGACCACAGACCGGACCACGGACCACAGACCGGACCACGGACCACAGACCACAGACCGGACCACGGACTACAGACCACAGACCGGACCACGGACCACAGACCGGACCACGGACCACAGACCAGACCACGGACCACGGACCGGACCACGGACCACAGACCGGACCACGGACCACGGACCACAGACCACGGACCACAGACCGGACCACGGACCACAGACCACAGACCGGACCACGGACCACGGACCACAGACCGGACCACGGATCACAGACTGGAGACCGGACCACGGAGACCGGACCACAGACCGGACCAGAGACTAGACCACGGACCGGAGACTAGACCACGGACCGGAGACTAGACCACGGACCACAGACCGGACCACGGACCACAGACCAACGACCGGACCACGGACCACAGACCACAGACCGGACCACGGACCAGAGACCACAGACCGGACCAGAGACCACAGACCACGGACCACAGACCACAGACCGGACCACGGACCACAGACCGGACCACGGACCAGAGACCACAGACCGGACCACGGACCAGAGACCACAGACCGGACCACGGACCACAGACCACAGACCGGACCACGGACCGGAAACTGGACCACGGACTGGAGACCACGGACTGGACCAGGGACCACAGACCGGAGAACACAGACTGGAGACCACAGACTGGACCAGGACCAGACCAGGACCAGGACTAAACCTGGACTGAACCAGGTCTAAAGCAAGACTAACCCTGGTTGTCCCGGGTCGTCCCCGGTCATCCCCAGAGACCAGAGACCACAGACCGGACAAGGGACCAAGGACCAGATTGGGGACCGGACCAGGGACTAGAGACCAGAAACTGGACCAAAGACTGGACTAAAGACTGGACCAGAGACTGGACCAGGGACCGGGCCAGAGACCAGAGACCAGGTTCAGTCCTGGTTCAGTCCCGGTCTAGTCCTGATTCGGTCCCAGTCTAGTCCTGGTTCAGTCCTGGTTCAGTCCCGGTCTAGTCTTGGTCTAGTCTTGGTCTAGTCTTGGTTTAGTCCTGGTCTAGTCCTTGTCTAGTCCTGGTTCAGTCCCGGTCTAGTCTTGGTCTAGTCCTGGTCTAGTCTTGGTCTAGTCCTGGTCTAGTCCTGGTTCAGTCCCGGTCTAGTCCCGATCTAGTCCTGGTTCAGTTCCGGTCTAGTCCCGGTCTAGTCCCGGTCTAGTCCTGGTTCAGTCCCGGTCTAGTCCCGGTCTAGTCCTGGTTCAGTCCCGGTCTAGTCCCGGTCTAGTCCCCGGTCTAGTCCCCGGTCTAGTCCCGGTCTAGTCTTGGTCTAGTCCTGGTCTAGTCCTGGAGTGATCCCGGTCTGGTCCTGATCCCGGTCTAGTCCCAGTCTAGTCCCGGTCTAGTCCTGGTTCAGTCCCGGTCTAGTCCCGGTCTAGTCCCGGTCTAGTCCTGGTTCAGTCCCGGTCTAGTCCCGGTCTAGTCCCAGTTCAGTCCCGGTCTAGTCCCGGTCTAGTCCCAGTTCAGTCCCGGTCTAGTCCCGGTCTAGTCCCGGTCTAGTCCCGGTTCAGTCCCGGTCTAGTCCCGGTCTAGTCCCGTAGTCCCGGTCTAGTCCCGGTCTAGTCCCGGTCTAGTCCCGGTTCAGTCCCGGTCTAGTCCCGGTCTAGTCCCGGTTCAGTCCCGGTCTAGTCCCGGTCTAGTCCCGGTCTAGTCCCGGTCTAGTCCCGGTCTGATCCCGTCTCTCTTTAGTCCACGTGCAGGTCTGTCGGGGTCTCATGATCCTGGCTCTGGTCCTGGACTTGGTCTCGGCTCTGGTCTCGGCTCTGGGCCTGAAGTGCACCAGGTTGAGCGGGATCTCGGACCGGACCAAGACCCGGCTGAGCCTGACCGGAGGCGCACTCTTCATCCTCTCAGGTCCTGCCCATCTCCATGGCAACGGCGTGGAAAAGTCCCGCAGTGCAGCTTTAAAGATCTTTTTTTTTATTTTGATTTTTTTTACCTCAGGTCTGTTGAGTCTGACCGCCGTGTCTCTGTACGCCAGTCGAGTCATCCAGGACTTCTACAACCCCGTGTACCCAGGAGTCAGGTCAGTGTGTGTGGCGTAGTCAGGTCAGTGTGTGTGGAGGAGTCAGGTCAGTGTGTGTGTGGAGGAGTCAGGTCAGTGTGTGTGTGGAGGAGTCAGGTCAGTGTGTGTGGAGGAGTTAGGTCAGCGTGTGTCTGGAGGAGTCAGGTCAGTGTGTGTGGAGGAGTCAGGTCAGTGTGTGTGTGTGTGTGGAGGAGTCAGGTCAGTGTGTGTGTGTGTGTGGAGGAGTCAGGTCAGTGTGTGTGGAGGAGTCAGGTCAGTGTGTGTGTGGTGGAGGAGTCAGGTCAGTGTGTGTGGAGGAGTCAGGTCAGTGTGTGTGGAGGAGTCAGGTCAGTGTGTGTCTGGAGGAGTCAGGTCAGTGTGTGTGTGGAGGAGTCAGGTCAGTGTGTGTGGAGGAGTCAGGTCAGTGTGTGTGTGGTGTGTGTGGAGGAGTCAGGTGAGTGTGTGTGTGTGAGGAGTCAGGTCAGTGTGTGTGTGTGTGTGTGAGGAGTCAGGTCAGTGTGTGTGGAGAGTCAGGTCAGGTGTGTGAGGAGTCAGGTCAGTGTGTGTGGAGGAGTCAGTCAGTGAGTGTGTGTGTGTGTGTGAGGAGTCAGTCAGTGTGTGACAGGTGTGTGTGAGGAGTCAGGTCAGTGTGTGGGAGAGGATCAGTGTGTGTGTGTGGAGGAGTCAGGTCAGTGTGTGGAGAGTCAGGTCAGTGTGTGAGAGGAGTCAGGTCAGTGTGTGTGTGGAGGAGTCAGGTGTGTGTGGAGGAGTCAGTGTGTGTGAGGAGTCAGTCAGAGTCAGTCAGTGTGGTGAGGAGTCAGGTCAGTGTGTGTGTGAGAGTCAGGTCAGTGTGTGTGGAGAGTCAGTCAGTGTGTGAGGGGTCAGTGTGGAGGAGTCAGTCAGTGTGTGTGAGGAGTCAGTCAGTGTGTGGAGGAGTCAGGTGTGTGTGGAGGAGTCAGGTCAGTGTGTGTGGAGGAAGTCAGGTGTGTGTGTGAGCAGTCAGTGTGTGTGGAGGAGTCAGGTCAGTGTGTGTGTGGAGGAGGTCAGTGAGGAGTCAGGTCAGTGTGTGTGAGGAGGAGTCAGGTCAGTGTGTGTGTGAGGAGTCAGGTCAGTGTGTGGTCAGTCAGTGTGTGTGGAGGAGTCAGGTCAGTGTGTGTGGGAGGAGTCAGGTCAGTCAGTGTGTGTGGAGAGTCAGTCAGGTCAGTCATGTGTGTGAGAGTCAGGTCAGTGTGTGTGGAGGAGTCAGGTCAGTGTGTGTGGAGGAGTCAGGTCAGTGTGTGTGTGTGTGTGGTCAGTCAGTGTCAGGTCAGGTCAGTGTGTGGAGGAGTCAGTAGGTCAGTGTGTGTGTGGAAGAGTCAAGTCAGTGTGTGTGGAGGAGTCAGGTCAGTGTGTGTGTGGAGGAGTCAGGTCAGTGTGTGTGTGGAAGAGTCAGGTCAGTGTGTGTGGAGGAAGTCAGATCAGTGTGTGTGGAGGAGGAGTCAGGTCAGTGTGTGTGGAAGAGTCAGGTCAGTGTGTGTGTGGAAGAGTCAAGTCAGTGTGTGTGGAGGAGTCAGGTCAGTGTGTGTGTGGAAGAGTCAGGTCAGTGTGTGTGTGGAGAGTCAGTCAGTGTGTGGAGGAGTCAGGTCAGTGTGTGTGTGTGGAGGAGTCAGGTCAGTGTGTGTGGAAGAGTCAGGTCAGTGTGTGTGTGTGGAGGAGTCAGGTCAGTGTGTGTGGAAGAGTCAGGTCAGTGTGTGTGGAGGAGTCAGGTCAGTGTGTGTGGAAGAGTCAGGTCAGTGTGTGGAGGAGTCAGGTCAGTGTGTGGAAGAGTCAGGTCAGTGTGTGTGTGTGTGTGTGTGGAGGAGTCAGGTCAGTGTGTGTGGAGGAGTCAGGTCAGTGTGTGTGGAGGAGTCAGGTCAGTGTGCGGAGGAGGAGTCAGGTCAGTGTGTGTGTGGAAGAGTCAGGTCAGTGTGTGTGGAGGAGTCAGGTCAGTGTGTGTGGAGGAGTCAGGTCAGTATGTTGAGGA